AATAATCAAACATAGTTCAACATAAAACATTTAACTTTGATATAGTAGATCCAATGTGACAGCGTGATAAAAATACAACAAGTGCCACTAGAAAACATATATCAAAAATAAGATTAAATTAGAACTCTGGATTTACCAAACCATTAAAAAAATTCACATATTTAGAAGACTCCATAACTTTTTCAAATAGCTAAATTTTTAGAAGATTGTGTTTTCCTGGAAATAAAAGATACTACACAAATAACCGAGCTAACTGATATTCCAGAAAAAAGATTCAGTGTCATTGACACCAGCCTTAGGTTTCTGTTGAAACATTTCGGCGTCGAATGTCGCTATGGACCGAGCGCCAGCGACTGGGTTTGTCACTAAAGGTTTTTTTAGAATACCATTTACCAGCTGACTGTGAGTATCTATGGGGCAGATTTTTAATTTGGCAAGGAAGACAAATGGAAGCTTACTTTTTTAAGTATTGTTAAGGACTAACTATTAAGAAAATCATAAAATAATGAAACACAATATCAAAGAGTATGTCATAGCAACAAGCAATAAAAACGGTATGCAATAGTAGTAAACGTCCAACATAATAATTTTCCAATAATCAAACATAGTTCAACATAAAACATTTTAACTTCGATATGGTAGATCCAATGTGACAGCGTGATAAAAATACAACAAGTGCCACTAGAAAACATATATCAAAAAAAAGATTAAATTAGAACTCTGGATTTACCAAACCATTAAAAAAATTCACATATTTAGAAGACTCCATAACTTTTTCAAAATAGCTAAATTTTTAGAAGATTGTGTTTTCCTCGGAAATAAAAGATACTACACAAATAACCGAGCTAACTGATATTCCAGAAAAAAGATTCAGTGTCATTGACACCAGCCTTAGGTTTCTGTTGAAACATTTCGGCGTCGAATGTCGCTATGGACCGAGCGCCAGCGACTGGGTTTGTCACTAAAGGTTTTTTCTAGAATACCATTTACCAGCTGACTGTGAGTATCTATGGGGCAGATTTTTAATTTGGCAAGGAAGACAAATGGAAGCTTACTTTTTTAAGTATTGTTAAGGACTAACTATTAAGAAAATCCATAAAATAATGAAACACAATATCAAAGCAGTATGTCATAGCAACAAGCAATAAAACGGTATGCAATAGTAGTAAACGTCAACATAATAATTTCCAATAATCAAACATAGTTCAACATAAACAATTTTATATGGTAGATCCAATGTGACAGCGTGATAAAAATACAACAAGTGCCACTAGAAAAACATATATCAAAAATAAGATTAAATTAGAACTCTGGATTTACCAAACCATTAAAAAAATTCACATATTTAGAAGACTCCATAACATTTTCAAATAGCTAAATTTTTAGAAGATTGTGTTTTCCTCGGAAATAAAAGAGATACTACACAAATAACCGAGCTAACTGATATTCCAGAAAAAAGATTCAGTGTCATTGACACCAGCCTTAGGTTTCTGTTGAAACATTTCGGCGTCGAAATGTCGCTATGGACCGAGCGCCAGCGACTGGGTTTGTCACTAAAGGTTTTTTCTAGAATACCATTTACCAGCTGACTGTGAGTATCTATGGGGCAGATTTTTAATTTGGCAAGGAAGACAAATGGAAGCTTACTTTTTTAAGTATTGTTAAGGACTAACTATTAAGAAAATCCATAAAATAATGAAACACAATATCAAAGAAGTATGTGATAGTAACAAGCAATAAAAACGGTATGCAATAGTTCCTACACCAATTTGTACGTCAACATAATAATTTCCAATAATCAAACATAGTTCAACAAAAACCTTTTAACTTCGATATAGGTAGATCCAATGTGACAGCGTGATAAAAATACAACAAGTGCCACTAGAAAACATATATCAAAAATAAGATTAAATTAGAACTCTGGATTTACCAAACCATAAAAAAAAATTCACATATTAGAGACTCCATAACTTTTTCAAATAGCTAAATTTTTAGAAGATTGTGTTTTCCTCGGAAATAAAAGATACTACACAAATAACCGAGCTAACTGATATTCCAGAAAAAAGATTCAGTGTCATTGACACCAGCCTTAGGTTTCTGTTGAAACATTTCGGCGTCGAATGTCGCTATGGACCGAGCGCCAGCGACTGGTTTGTCACTAAAGGTTTTTTCTAGAATACCATTTACCAGCTGACTGTGAGTATCTATGGGGCAGATTTTTAATTTGTGCAAGGAAGACAAAGGAAGCTTACTTTTTTAAGTATTGTTAAGGACTAACTATTAAGAAAATCCATAAAAAATATTGAAACACAATTCAAAGCAGTAGTGTCATAGCAACAAGCATTGAAAACGGTATGCAATAGTAGTAACGTATGTCAACATAATAATTTCCAATAATCAAACATAGTTCAACATAAAACATTAACTTCGATTATAGTAGATCCAATGTGACAGCGTGATAAAAATACAACAAGTGCCACTAGAAAACATATATCAAAAATAAGATTAAATAAGAACTCTGGATTTACCAAACCATTAAAAAAATTCACATATTTAGAAGACTCCATAACTTTTTCAAATAGCTAAATTTTTAGAAAGATTGTGTTTTCCTCGGAAAAAAAGATTACTACACAAATAACCGAGCTAACAGATATTCCAGAAAAAGATTCAGTGTCATTGACACCAGCCTTAGGTTCTGTTTGAAACATTTCGGCGTCGAATGTCGCTATGGACCGAGCGCCAGCGACTGGGTTTGTCACTAAGGTTTTTTCTAGAATACCATTTACCAGCTGACTGTGAGTCTATGGGGCAGATTTTTAATTTGGCAAGGAAGACAAATGGAAGCTTACTTTTTTAAGTATTGTTAAGGACTAACTATTAAGAAAATCCATAAAATAATGAAACACAATATCAAAGCAGTATGTCATAGCAACAAGCAATAAAAACGGTATGCAATAGTAGTAAACGTCCACATAATAATTTCCAATAATCAAACATAGTTCAACATAAAACATTTTAACTTCGATATGGATAGATCCAATGTGGACAGCGTGATAAAAATACAACAAGTGCCACTAGAAAACATATATCAAAAATAAGATTAAATTAGAACTCTGGATTTACCAAACCATTAAAAAATTCACATATTTAGAAGACTCCATAACTTTTTCAAATAGCTAAATTTTTAGAAGATTGTGTTTTCCTCGGAAATAAAAGATACTACACAAATAACCAGCTAACTGATATTCCAGAAAAAAGATTCAGTGTCATTGACACCAGCCTTAGGTTTCTGTTGAAACATTTCGGCGTCGAATGTCGCTATGGACCGAGGCGCCAGCGACTGGGTTTGTCACTAAAGGTTTTTTTCTAGAATACCATTTACCAGTGACTGTGAGTATCTATGGGGCAGATTTTTAATTTGGCAAGGAAGACAAATGGAAGCTTACTTTTT